AGAAAGCTCCTGTCACCTGAAAAAAAAAACAAACCTGAAACTTCTTCATTTTGTAGACTGTTCTGGTAAATCTTGGCTAAGCTAGGCCTAAGGTGGAAGAAATTGAGATAACTGATGCACTTAAGCATGTGTCATTCTTCATCTCTCCAGTCAATAATTGACAAGAAAAGGGAAAAAAAAAATCCTATGGGCCAGACAGCTCATAGATGATGCACTTAAACTGAGATGGCATTGTGCTATGCTGTGGGACAATCATACCTGTAGCAACAGCTGAAGGGGGAAATCCCTTCCCACCTTGGAGCAACATTTCAGTAAATAGATTTTAAATATGTGACATCCTTTCCCAGTGCATCAGTGCCACCATGACCGCTATTCTACAATTTCCACACACTTCAGAGGTAGCATGGGAAGTGTCATGGTGCCAGCTGAGGGCAGGGAGATACAAGCCCCTGGGCAACAGTAGACTTTGCACAGGGCAGGGTATTGCTGTTGGAGCAGTGGCAACACTAGGGGAATGTGGTGTTCATTAAACACAAACCAAAAGTAATCCAGGGCAGATGGCTGCTGCTTCCATGAAGTAAGCTGTCACAGTGGGAAAGAGGAGTTTGAAAGGGTGACTTCTCTTTTGGAAACATGTCCATGTGTCAGTCTTCAAGTGAATCCAGAAATGCTTTGCCTAAAACACACAAATTTTAAGTCATGATCCTCTGCAAGAGGATCCTATGATCTTGCTCATTGCTCCAATTCACCACATAGTAAATATTGCTGTTATTTAAAAACATTTAAAAAGCGGTGACTTACATCAAAGAGGCTGTATGACTACACATAAGAGAAAAACATCTTTGACAAACAGATGGTGTGTATCGATCTGAAAGACTCCATAAAGTACTCTTTTGTATTGCTAACCTAATGCTTTAACTGACAAGAGGTCTCCTTTTGTTGACATCTTTCCTGGCAATAGCATCATGACAACTGCAGCCTGTCTGCAAGAATGTACACAGACCTGGGAACCCAGCCATACATTAGCAAACTGCAGTGTACTCCACGTGTTTCTCATCCTTTGCTTAACAACCTTGTGCTTGTAAGAAAAGCTACTTGTGTGCAGTATTGCATTCATTGTGATGATTCATGTCTACCAGCTTCTGCCAGGCAATGCTGGGAAGTCAGGTAGGAAGCAGCCCACCTCCAGTATTTTCTCTCTCTGAGATAAAAAATTATTTTAGTGGAAGGTAGGAAATAAAACAAAGAAACCAAGCCAAAACAAAGAAAACCTGTTGAAGCACGCAGAGTTTGTCATTTAAGTATAATCCGAGCGGATTTTGTTTGTCAACACTTGCATAAGCGAAAATAACAATTCTGAAATTACTTTTAACTGGAACTGTTTTCATATCAAGTAGCACGTCTGAGCTTAATGCTAACGGTTCAAGACCTTCCCAAGTGTCAAGTGGTGTGATCGCAGGTGCTGCCACAGCATCCCTGCCACATGCATCAGCAGTAGTGCCACTGCCAGGGGCTGTCAGCTGCAGTGCTGGTGCCCAGGAGCCTCCCTTGTGGCACATCCCTCGCTCACATGGACAAGGGCATTGTGCTCTCATGTTTTCTGCTTTACCTCACACTCGACACCAAGACATAAATCCCCACCAGAGCAGATTGAATGGATCTCCTTAAACACCAAAATTACACTCAAACACCAATAATTACACTTGCTTGGGATGGAGGTTTATCTTTGAACTCACGCAGCTTTCGTTAAACTATCTTTATACCTCAGCTCTCTCACTGCTTTTCAATAGACATCATGAAACTGCTCTCACACCTCAGGAGCTAATGTATTACATTTGCTCTGGACTTTCAGCATTGTAACTGGGAGCAGAAGTTGGATCTGTTTTTTTCTTTCTCTCTTAAAAGGTCAGGGAAACATGAAACCACAAAAGGCTAATTCTTCTCTGTGTCACATTTCTGTGAGCCCACAGGGCAACATAGCAGTAGTATTTTTAATGCTTTTTTTTCCCACCCTGACTTTTCAATCCACAGTCCTTGGCACAACTGGTGACAGCTCACACAGTAACACACTTACTCTCACATCATTCCTTCTAGGTTGCTTTTGATGAATATTGGGAGCACCAGAAAGGGTCCCAGCCACTGCAGCACACGTGTGATGAGCAGGGGCAAGATATCACAAGGCTTGGCCTCATCACAGGTTTTCTGGTTCTGCCCTGCATGGTCACAATCCACAGTATTCGGCACATACATGTGTGGTTATCATTAAACTGTAAATACTGCAAGAAGGTATTCAGCATGATTTAATATTCCTGTTAGTGCCTCCAAAGGCCCAACCAGAGAAGCTGCACTGTGCTGGGCTGAGCACTGTGTAAATATTGATGGTTTCTGTCTTGCAGTGTTTACAATCCAAGAAGGAGCCCTGCGACAGAGCACTCTGCTACAGTTTTGTTGTTTGTCTTCAGAAATGATTTGTCTGATTTAAAGCATCATAAATGGTCATGTCCTTTCTTTTGCCACTACTACTAAAGCAATTACTTTACAAAGAGCTGTGAAGGCAAAGTTCTAGACCTAGATATTTTATCATCCCAATCAAGAATTAGTCTTTTGATATAAACTCAGAATCCAATAACATTTTCTGAAGCTGTAATATGCTACAATAAAATATGATTTCACATTCTCAAACTCTTGCTAGGTAACAATGATTCAGCACAAGCAGAGCAAAGCACTGCTTTGCTCCCCTGAACAGGGACACACTCTCAGGTAAACTCACTCTAAGGCTTCATAATGGAAGAAGTTGCTCCCAAAACCACCACACTGACAAGACACAGATATGTGGCAGTGGTTGTGGAGAAACCCACATCAGGAATCAGGTAAGTTAACATTACACATGTATATAGCAGGAACAGACACTGCAGGAATGGCTTTTGGCCCAAGGCCAACTGCCTTGCTGAGGGTGCTGGTGTTTGGAAAGGAAATGACAAGTTTCTACAGCTGCAAGGGTCAGCACTGACACACAGCTTGCTGTACCCTCCCTCCAGCTGAGGATAAAACCTCTGTAAGGGAGTAGGGAGCTGCGATATGCCTCACAATATGGCTGGGCACCACTGCCATCCATCATGCAAGCATAACTCCTTCAGAGTTCAAAGACAAAGTTACAAAAGACTTGTTATTCCTCAGGGTATTCTGAAGATTTATACACTGTCACCTACCTGGGCAGTGGGAGATGTTTACCTGTCTCCTGTGTCAGCTGAGCTCAGGGAGCAGTAACATGATTACAAAACTTGAATGCTCAGAAATGCTTTCTGGCTCCTCGTATCTCCTCATCTGATCTCCAGGACACCTCACCACTGTTAAAAAGAAAACACCACCAAAGCACCACCCAGCTCCAAACCATCTGAGGCATGGGCCCAGAAGCAGCTCTAGCATTCTCCTTTTCTCCTGCTGTTGCACCTGTTGCAATTTCATAAATGATATTTGTTCTTCCCACAAGCCTTACCTCTTTTGGGGTCAGGGGGAGGCTTGGAGCCAGAGGTTTCACCTGAGGCAGGTTACACCTGCAAACAAAAGAGTGGATGTGGAAGGACAGCCACCACCACCACCACCATCATTTCGGTGTTCATCAGAGCCCCTCACCAAGAGCTGGAGGCTGAGATGCGAGCGCTCGGCCTCTCCCTGTTCCCGCACGGGGAAGCTCGTACCTTGTCATCGCTGCCCTGCCACCGCACACCCAACACCTCAGGGCCGCCACCAGCGCTTCCGTCCGCACTGTGCAAACACCGCTGCGCCCTTTCTCCGCTCGGGTAATAACAGGGCCACCCTCATTCCCGCTCCCGGCAGACACGGTGTGGGCACCCAGCGGCAACTACAGACGGTGGCCCAAGGTCTGGTTAATGTGTCAGCGCTTTGAACCCACCACAGGTTGCACTTTGAGCCGTTATTGGCGGTCCTGGTGTTTAAAGGGTTTTTTTTCCCCAAACTGGTTGGGTGCCTGCTCCTTTTTTAAGAGGAGTCTGACACCAGAAACCTCATGTCCATGTCAAAGTAGCTGATCCCCACCCTCACCGGTGAAAAAACAATAAGCGTTCTGTCATCAGCGTGAGCCTGATTTCCTCAGACTTTAGGGGTTTTTGCACGTGAGAAGAGGCTGCGGCATCGCAGAGTGCCCTGTTAACAGCCAGCAGGGCAAAGTTCTTGTTTCCTTTGTAGTGAAAAAGTTCAGGGCCGGATTTTGATTATCACAAGGAGTAGTAAAGTACACAGAGCAGAGATCGCACATTGGGCAAGAATTATCACCGAGGTGAAAAAACCAAACAGAAACAGCAAAACAAGCTCCTGCCCAGCTGATGCAGCACTGCCCCACATTGGGGTGTGTGCAGCCCCTGTACCTGTGCGGCCTACGCAGCTTATGGAAAAGGCTGGGCTACGTTCTGGGCACAGCACAGCCGTCCCCAGCACAGCACAACACCACGGCACGGCTGCCAGGGGAGCCCTACCAGGGCAGCTGGGCAAAGGTGGCTTCATCCTGCCCTTTTGATATCTTTCTTCAACATGCAAATTAAAGGAAATTGGGTGAAGTACCAAAGTCCAGTGTCATGCCACTTAGCTTACGTACCCAAAGGAAAAATAAAAGAAAAAAATAAAAAATAGTAGAGAAGGTATCAAAGGACCTGTATTTTATTTTTTATTTTATCAGGATCTGTTACCCTGGGCCATGGTTAGGATGTCAAGCACTCTTGTTTTGAATGTTGTGTTGATGATTGATGTGCTCCCACACTACATCCAACCTGCGTTTTTACAAGGGTTTGACTATTCCTCTGCAAGCCTGGGAAAGAGGAAAATTCACATTTTACACAAAATTAAAGTCCTGCCTGACAGCTCCCCATCTGCTGGCCATGTCCCAGTTGCGTTGCTGCTCTGGTGCAGGCTTAGCTCCCCTCAGAGTTCCCAAAGAAATTGTTTTGTGCATCTTACCATCAGGTTGACCCACCCCATGCAAACATCCCCAACTGGCAAAAGCTGTGGGGATTTAGAGGCGAAACATGAACACTGCACTCACAGTGGTGGCTTGGAGAAAAATGCAGACCAAGGGCCGAGCTTGCAGACTCTGCCTGTAAATGCCACCGGCACACGCAGGGGGAGAGCTGAAAAAAGCCCGCCACTCCAGACTTGCACAACTGGACGGTGAGCAGAGAGGGGTAGGAGCCGTGGGAACTGGCAGCGGGGCCACACAGGAGAGCACAGGGACTGCCAAACTATTCAGCTGCAATCCAGAGACTGACAGTGGCAGCATGAGCCATCTTCCCCCCTCCCTGCAAAACATTCCCTCTCCTAGAGATTTGCATAACCCTGTGTACATTTCCTGCAGTCCTTGGGCAACGAATAGAGTTGTGGTTCAGCAATTCACAGGATCAAAGGCAGATTATGATCCTATCGCTGGAACAGTTAAGTTTTGACATGTGGGCTTTTTAGATATCATTTCTCAAAGATCAAACCCCAGTGTATTCCAGGGAAGTAAGTTTAGGCAAACCACAGAGCTGGGAAGCAGGCAGGATCACTTTTTTTTTTTCTTATGTATAATCAAAAGGTTTTATTAGGGTTTTCTAAAAACCCATGGCTCTAATTCTGTACCCAGCCAGTGCTGACTGGCCACAGTTTGAGATCCCCAAGGTGGATCTCCTGGGCTGCCTTACAGCAGGGGATTTCCTAGGGCAGGAAGCCCGTCCTGCAGGGAGGGAGGCTCAGCCAGCTCTTCCTTCAGTGGCAGACAGGGCTGAGGGTTTTACAAGTGCCTTGCGTGCAGTTTCCCTGCTCTCTGTCCAGGCCCCTGGCAGCTGGGGAGGAAGCAGCATGTAATGAGCCCCAGGTGGAGGCAGCAGCTTAAGCTCCGCGATGGCAGCTCCCCTGCCCTGGAACAAGGGAGCCACTGGCAGCAAATGCAGATGAGGGCTGGGGTAAGGCAAGGACTAAAGGCAAATCTTCAAGGAAGTAGAGGATCTGAAGTCAAACTCCCTCTGAGTTCAACAAGCCTCAGAGAGCGCCTGGGTCATGCCACCAATGAGTCACTTCTGCCAGATGGGGAGAGTCTGGCCAACACAGGCATCAGCTGGTCCGTGCAGCCCTCCTTGCTCTTCTGACCCCGTGGAAGGAAACCCGAGCTTCTGCATCACTGCATTTCAAAAGGAAAGGAAATTAAATTTTTCACAGAGGAAATACCTGTTGCTTATCAGTGTAAGCATGAGAGAAATTGACGCAGCCCCCCACACCTCCTTTCATGCCTCCTGCTCGCTTAAACTCACACTGCCACATCAGAGCAAAGCTGATCATCACTCTTGATGAGCAAGAGTGGTGCTGGCTGTTGGCACAATACCCAGCTGGGATATCACATGCTGCCCTCCCCAAGGCCAGCAGCACCCCACGATCACATGCAGGTGAAGGAGGAAGGTGTTGCAGGACTCTCCCAGGGAGAGACCTGTATGTCTGCATTCCCACCACCTCCTCTGAGGGTCCAAAGAGATGGTGAGGGATGTCACTCTCCCTTCAGAGGGTGACTGGGACATTCCTCTCTGCCCCAGGTATCATGGACACAGTAGCAGGGGTCAATTTGCAGATGCAAATCTATAACACTAAACCGAGATATTTACAGGAGGTTTTTTTCCACGTATCACCAGCTAAGGAAGAAAAGACTTTTGAGGAGGCCTTTGGAGAAAGCTGGCAGCACATCACTGGAAATACCTTGGCTGAATGCAAGCCAGATGAATTTAACATGAAGAATGAGTTACAGAAGCAACTGCCTAAGCAACATTTAATACAATAACCTTAACTAACCTTTTTGTTCAGGTTGGCAGAGGAATGTTTGCTTCACACCTCACCGGGAGAAGGTTCATGGCAACAGAACCAGGACTCTGAAAGCACGCTGAAACCAGCAATGCCACTGACTCAAAACTAAAAAACTCCATTTTTGAAAATGCCAAATGGATTTTATTATTAATTACTTCTTTCTTTGCCTTACCCCTGTCACAACACAGAAAGCAGAAGTTAGAAAAAAGCTGAGCTATCTACACAGGGAAGATGTGCTTTCTGTCAGGAACAGAAGTTGATCTGTTTGCATCAGAGCAAGATTTGCTGTTGTGGTTAGTGTAGTGGAGTAGCAGAGATCAGATGCCTTTCAAAACAGTACAAAACTAGTCAAAATATCTCTAACCTAGTTAAATGGACTATGCATGATACTGTGTAAGCACTCTCAAGTCAAACAGAGAAATGATAGAGGGAAGAGTTCAAACAAGGAATGAGACTAGAAGTACAAAAGAAAATAAAACATTGGACACAAGGTCAAGCAATCAGAACATTGCAGGCTAGAAAAGGAAGTGAAATTACAGGCTCTGGCAAAACAGCTGAATGCTTACTCAGGAAAATTACAAAACTGTTGAGATCCTTAGCATCAGTTATGTGTTTTCTATCCAGAACAACTCCCAAGACAAGATATACGAATTCATAAAAGCAAGCTCAGGGGCATCACATTCTTCTCAAGAATGCGATTTTATTTCTTTCTATAAGTACCAGGAAAAATACACATGTATGTATTACTTACTAGAATATATACATATATAGGGTATAGATATATATACACACACACAAAATTGCATCTCAGTAAAATCTATAAGCTGATGGCAAATTATGATCAAGACTAGCTTCTCCATTGACAGCTTCTACAGGAGAGGCTTCTAAAGGCCAAAAGCCCTCAGCTAAGCACTAAAATTTATTTGCCAATAAACAAAAAAACAGTTTTGCTCCTGCAGAAGAGCTAGAACACCAGAAGAAAAGTTGAGGTAGGGAGGAAAACTTGTTTTATGCTGAAACTAGATAGGACATATAAGTTAAAGAAACCAAATGGTTTATCCCTTATGGAAGCCACTCAGGCCCTAACTGGTTTTGGGGAGGAAGCAGAAGCAGGTATGGTGTGACACATGATTTCCCACAGATCTATCAGGCTGTAGGGACTTCAGAGGCAGAACCAAACATTCTCTGTACACTTACAGAATACCATACTAGTAAAACTACAGGCCTCACAACTGGTAATTATTTCTGTACTACTACATAGAAACATGAATAGTCTCAAAAAGAAGGTGAGTCCTACCACCTTGTGAAATGTCACTGATGGAGGAGCTCTAGGGTATTATTGCCCCACCAGTGTGGTAATACTGCAGAGATGGAAAGACACAGAGAAGCCAGGTAGACGTAGATACATGTCCTGCAAAACCCCCAGCTCTGGGACTGACCCGCTGTCACCATAGTCAGGTCAATCCTCTTCATGGTCAGCTAAATGATGTGATGAAAGGCTCATAACAAAAACCACGTGCAGGCTTTAATATGTCCAGACAAGGGTTCTTCACTCTGAGAGGGTCATGTTGTTACACACCTAGAGATAGGGCTTGGTGCCCAGGGCAGGCACTGCCTAGGCTGCAATTAGAGAAAGCAGCCACAGCCCTGGTCTGTGGTCCCAGGGAAGCTGTCCAAGAATAAACAGGGTTAGATGGTTGTCAGCTGCACTCATTCAACTCACAGCCTGCCACCTGTGCCCCCCCTCCTCCCCCCAGTTAAGTCACTAATTCAAAGCACTCTTACCTCTGTGCATTTTTACAGGTTTATTACACATTGTGTAAGCAGCTGAAAGATCAACACTTTGTTTGTCAGTAAAAACACATGGAATTTGGCAGAAACCCTGCTATCCAGTGGAACACAGATTAGCTGGGAGGCAGATGCGACTTATTCATGGCTGCATCAGCTTCAGGGACTGTGATTCATGTTGCACAATGAAGCAGTTCTGCAGAGCTACAAAGGGCTGTGAAGTCAACCTGTTGGTAAAAGCTACCCTGCTCTGCAAACCTGTGTAGCAGGACTTGAGATTCCTGCCAGCTGTAGTCCCAGACCTGACACCTCAGCTTCAGAAAGAAAAAGGAGTTTAAAGGCAAATAAAGCCAGTTTCAAAGGGAAAGGTGTGCAAAATGGCTCTGAGCTGTCAGCAGGAGTGCATGCAAAATACAGATGGAGAAAGCTGCCTGAGTTTTTACTTTGTAGCATAGCTAGCACCGTTTACACGGTTTTCTTTCTGTGTGTGCAGAACTGCAGGCACTCATTGTCGTGACAGGGACCAGAATAGACACTGAACCGCATACAGCACACATGGGTACAATTATCATGTCTGGAACAGCAACAGCTCTAAGTGACATTTTGCTAGAGTGAGTGGCTAATCTAATCTCTTCTCCTTCAGTCTGAACACTGGAACTCATGGGAGAAGAGCCTGCTGAACCAGCGAAACAGGATAGAGATGTAACAACTCTGGCAGTTGGTGAACGGGAGACTTAAAACAAGTAATGTCCTGAAAAGTGAACATGAGCTGCATTTGTGCCAGTAATCCTACTGGAAAAAAGCCAGGCAGGAAGTTGACAATTGCAAGATGCCAAGTAGGGAAAGAAAGGGAAAAAAAAGAAAAAAAAAAAAAAATTTAATAGAATATAAAATACTCCAAGGGTTACCAAAAAAGCCCTGCATGAGTGCTTGAAGAAAAATGGTAAATGAAAAGAGACTTTGACAGGCAGGACACAGTTAACTGCAAGTGGCCTAAATACCGTAGGTGTAGAAGTGACACTGACCAGGGTCACGGCGCACCTGGACTCCCAGCTGCACTGCACCTTCTGTGGGCTGGGCTTCCGCTGCAGCCTTACCTCATCTCCAAGGGGAAAACTCATTCCCCACCACACGCTCTCTCTCCTTGCTTGCTGCTTACTTTCTCCCGCTTCCCCTTCTCCAGCGAAGTTACCGCAGGCCCCCCGCTCTGCCTGGGCAGCGGGATCCTGCTGCTGGCATCGCCCGGGAGGGTGAAACCATGCAAGTTCGCCCGGCTTCCAGCTCTGCTCGCCCCCTTCCCTCCCCCATAACACGAGGCCAGCTGTTGCAGCTCCAACGGCTTTACAGCCGCGCACGCTGACCTCATGGCACAAGCTGGGAGACATGTGGGACACCACAGGCCCCCCCAGCAGCCGGCAGCGAGACACCGCCCCCTCCCTGCACGCGGCCTGCGACGCCGGCCTGGAGATCCCCTCCCTATTGTAATTATTTTTGCTTTGCGCAGAGATTTATCACATGCAGCTGCCACAACTTGTTTACAAGACACAAAAGCCATGAAAACAAGGTTGATGAAGTCTGCGTGTGAGCTGTTTTCCCTGGCATGAATTTGTCATACCTCTTAGCTCGCTGACGCCCTGGCTGGCCACACAGTCTCCAGCAACACACAGCAATGCCTTCCCTTCAGCTTCAGAATAGCCAAAATGTGTGTTTTCAGAGGTTGGGTTTTGACAGAACTGCTTTGCACTGAGGTGTATCATTGCTGCAAGAACAGCAAAACCACCCATGTTGTCTCTGCTTATTTTTTTTTTTTCTTTTCCATGGTAAAACAAGTTTCACAAACAAATCTTTGTTTGCTCTACCAGGGGTCATGAAGCAGCACATGAAGCCTTTGGTTTATTACCAGGGCTCCTGCTTAGCTCAGGACCCTAGCTCCACCCAATGCCCTACATCTACCTACCTCTGATAACTTTAGATAAAAGTTACTTCAGGTTTATGCTCAGAAGGAATAGCTTTAGGTAAACTTCAATAGCCAGCACCAAAACTATCAGTGCTAGATTACAGGAAAGCAGAAACTCCCTTTTGATACATTTTAGTGGGTAGTCAAAATGAGTCATTTTCTTCTTCAAGTTAAATCACACCTCAGGGTAGGGAAAAGCTTTTACATGGTGTGGTGTCAGGCGCTACTCAGCCACAGCCATCTCACTTACAAGTACAGCCCAACTTCTAGGTGTAACCTTAACACAAATAGTAATTTAAGAAGTATATAATTGGCCTCAAGCAAAATTGGTCACCAGTGAAGTTCCCAGGTTAGGTCAGTCAGCAAAATGGAAATGCAGTGCTCATCACATGAGCAGGACTTTGGTGGTCATTTACACTAAAACCACTTTGCGTGGCATAATAGTAAATGAAAAGAGAGACCACAGGCTTTTACTTTCAATGAAAACTGTTAACCTGAATGGCAACAGCTTTCTTCCTCATTCTATTCTCATTTTCAGTACTGCAGCTGTTATAGTGAAATTATAGAACTGGTCAGCTCAACCAGCAAAGTTTTTTTCTTCTAAGCGTGCTGACATTCTTTATTTTAAAGGATAAAGTAATGAAGAGTAAATATCTCTGAAAATGCCCTTTAATGATCTCAGTGCCCCACTTTTTCTTTAGCCCACAGCACAGCAAACTGCTTTGAAAAAAGGAAACAAAAGAGGAAAATGTCGAGCAATTCAAATCAAACAATGCAAACATATTTGTGAGGCTGTTTTTCTTTCACTAGTGCTTGAAGCATGGGTGTAAGGAGTGTTGCAATACAGTTCCTTCCTGCAAGAACAGGAAAGGACAAGGCATCTTCCAAACATTTATCAAAGATGACAGTCCACTTTGGTGTAGCACCCCTTAAGATAAATCACCTATTCCACAAAACCATGTCTATTAACCAACTTTTCCCTCAACATGAACCTCATAGTTACACAAAAGAGCACTTCCATTTTACAGTTAGTCATTAAAAAAAAACCCAAACAATACATACATAGCTATCCCAGGAAAAATAGCTCAGAAGTATCAAATACAGTGTGTATTTGACTACACAAGGCTCTTCTGTACCCACCTGCAGTTCCTTGAACACAGAGCATACAGCCATCTCTATGTTCAAAATTATTTTCCAGCTTTATTTCCAAATTATTTTTTAAAATAATTCTATATTGATACAGTATATTAGTATGACTGATGCAGTCATAAATAAGCCAGGTTTTTTTAAGTTTACTGCTTGCCACTTTGATTTTAAACATGAAGGTTCAAGAAAGGCACAAGTTCAGAAGAATTCCCAAGAGCACTCCAGAAAATAGAGTATTTCACACTAGAAAGTGATAAAGGCCACAGCAAAAACAGAATAGCAGTCAAAATACTGTAGTCTTCTTTCTACTCATATTGATATCCTTAAATTCACCAACTCTTCTGCTGCTCCTTAAAGCCCTCCCCCAATCTCCCAAACAGACAACTGGTTTGTTTTTAAAGATCAGCCAGAACCAATTTTTTACCCTGGAGGTCTCTTATTTCACTGTTGTTGGAAGGATAAGGGTGGGCGACTGACATTCAAGTAAGTTGAAATGTGACCTGCAAGTCTTCACATTTTTCAGTAATAAGTCATTCTGATGGCGAAGTCCTTTTCTGAAAGGTAACTTAGATTCTGTTGGCAAAAATACACCCCAATACAACAGGGATCACTTCTAAATCTTAGCCAACCACCTGTTAAAGTATCTCACAAAGACCTGGCTCCCAGAACTCAGATTTCAATGCAATACAGCCTACTTTATTTCAGTCTACTAGAATTACTGAGCAAAAACCTTTTCAATCTAGTCCAAGTAAGGGTAGAAGCCCTTGCCCTCCCCTATCAAAATTTGTCACCAGTCATGTCTAGGAGCTGCATCACAAAGATCTGCAAAGAACACTTGTCCCCGCCCCTCTTCTGGCCTCTTCCTTTTATCTTCAGATCTACCCCATGAGCCATCACATTTCCCAGCCTTAAAATATTTCAAGTAGCCAAGAGCTGGAACTCTTAGAGGGGCCCAAGGTTTCCCTCTGAAATTTAGTCAGAATTGCCTACACAGCTCCCATTGGCCCCTTTAAAGAATTTCAACATAGCAGAACACCATCAGGTACTTCTGGCCCACTTTTCAGCATTCTTTTAAACATCTGTTTAACAACAACGGCTAGCATGGCTCTCTAAACCAAACAAAGTCAGTATGAGCTCAAAAATATTTCTCACTTCCATTTATTTCAAGAGTAATTCATGTTTTCTGCAAAGCTTGTATTCAACAAAATACTCTGCATGCATGACTTTTAAAGAAAATATTTTATTATATTATGGGAAAAAAGCATGATCATCCAAAGTTTGTATTGTTAAAAAAATTGAAAATTTAGACAGCGTGTCGGTATATTCCGTTCCACATGGGAATGATAAGAAGACTCTATATCATTACTAGATATTGCACAGTCTGAAAGAAACAAAACAAATCACATGATCTTGGGAAACATCTCACATTATGAAAAATCTACAAAGAAAACATTAAAAAAAAAAATCCCAACAAAACACACAATCCTTTCTTTCTACAGTAGCTTTAAGTTCATAATTCTTGGAATGACCGTATTCCACTGAAGACCATCTCAGTGACAGGAAGCTTCATTTCAGCAATCCCCTTGTGCAAATAAGATTAATAAAAAAAAAATAATAATAATGCAGTGAAGTCTTTTGATATCGTGTGGGTGGCAATAACCACACAGCTGTTAGATCCCTGCCTGGTAAAACAAAACGGAGAAGGAGAAGGAAGGGGATTTAGGCCATAAGTTTCGCCTGCAACTCCATCTCTGCCGCCCTTTTGAGTGCAACATCCACCAGAAGCTGAAATCCACTAAAATCCTGGTTAAGGTCTGGTGGTGTTGGAGGAGGAGTGTTAAAGAGCCCACTTTGTGTGTTTGCACCAGGTCCCAGTTTGGATGCGTCCTCATGGCAGGAGAGGGGGTTATCTGTGAAGCTGCCAGCCGGGGGCTGCTGCAGGTCCGTGGTCTGGCCTACATCAGCTGGTTGGCAAAAGTGGAAAGGGCCATCTTTCAACGCAGTCACAGTCGTGTGGCAAATCACCGACGGCCGAGCCAGGACCGATCCCGGGGAAGCCGGCTTGGAAGAGGACACAGTCTTGCCGAGCGGTGCGGCAGTGGGAAGGAAGGCAGTCTCCTCCAGCAGGGGAATGTAGTTCTTTGTGCTGATGGCAGACTCCACCAGGCCGCCCTCGGGGAGCTTGGTCCCTCGCCGCGAGATAGTGAACTGATTTGGGTCTTTGCCATCCTTCCTCAGCATGTCAGGTAACAGCCTGCGGCGTGCATTGATAAACCAGTTGCAGACCTGGGAATATAATGACATCTTAATTTCTACCTTCATTCATTCCCAATTACGTGCCACTAGAGCGGATGGTTAGATTAATGAACCCCTCTCCAAGCAGTTTCCTTCACTGCACAACAAAATACAGACCTACTGACAAGTTCTGACACGCCTGGCAAAGGCCCTTCCCTTGTCCCAGCACCTACTCTCCCTGCTCTTGTTACAGAAAGCCCCGGGACATCTGAAGTCCAAACTAGGGGTTTAGCTTTTAACTCTGTGCACACACATTAACCTATTGGCTATTGTTCCCTAGCTTAGGTTAATTAACAACAGGAAAACCTTTTCTCTCTGAAGAGAGCCACTCCTCCCACAAATAGTTACTGATTTTCCTTGTTCAACTGACTGTGTCGACAGACATAACATGAATTACCTCATTTAAGTTTGTCCTTGTTTAAATATCAACCGGTTTCCTGGGCAATACAGGATAGTTTATAGTTTAACGTCTTTTTTCTCTTTACTACATAAAAGAATTCTTCTTTATAATGTTGCATAAAAAAATTTTACTCTATAGCCAATTATGAAATTTGCACTAATGAATTAATACGGAAAAATAAAGCCCAGGACTCAACAGGAGTGCTCCCTATTTAGCAGTTCCCAAAACCAAACCCCAGTTTACCCAAGCTCTCATGCAGCCACCTTCCCAAAGTGTGGGATGCAGCAATGGGCAAAAGCTATTCCACCAAAGATGATCACAAAATGATCACAAAAGATGAGAATGATCCATCCAAGGGATCTCACAGATGCCAGTGGCATCCCAGGGTAAGAATCCAAAATAATCCCACAAAGGCCTCACCATACCTGTAATAACACCCTTGAGTAGCTCTTAACCCATATAGGTTGTTCTACTGATTTTAATGGCAATCATCATACACATAATTATGTATGTCCATGTTCTACTGGAACGAGCCTCAAGCTGCCCTTTTAGAAGTGAAGAGTTACATGTTAACCTGCACATCTATTACCATAAAACCTCTGCTGACAAATAAGTACCTTCTTCTCCCAATAAATTACCTTGTACAGACACTTTACGTCTTTTGGGGCACAATTCCGCAAAAAATTAGCATGCATGCTCCAATTCATGACTGTCTGTTCTCCCAGAAAAATAATTTTATTCCCAATAAACAAAGATCACTGTAACACATAATCAGTCTCTATCTTTCCTTACGAGTGCCATCAGCAGAAGAGTAGCAATAAAAAAGGAAATGTCACATGCAGTGTAAACATTTTTACCCATGACTAGACCACAGCTGAATTAAAACAGAAAAACAGCTCCTTCAGAAGGGAGAACTGCTTTTTTAAATACCTGTAGTGTGGAAAGGTGTGTTTGTCGGGATAACAGCGCTTTCTCTTGCTCTGAAGGATAAGCATTGTATCGGTGCTCATAGAGCCAGTCCCGAAGAATCTGCACAGACTCCTTGGGCAGGTTGCCACGTCTCCGCCGTTTGCCCGAGCCAGCAGATGAGGAAAGATCCAGTGGGACATCCATAGTGTCATCATCCTCCGTTTCACTGCCTGATATTGCAACTACACCTACAATTGACAAGGACAAGGACAATCAGCCTCCTAAATCTGTTAACTGCTTGGCTCCGGTGCTGCATGGCTCAGACATTTTATATCACATTAACTGTCTGTACTGTTACAGCCCCTTGCACGGGAGATTCGTCCTGCAGCGTTAACTTGTCATGCTGCAGCTTTTCTGTCAGCTGAACAAAAAGTAGCACCAATGATCCATTCCTAAAGGAATTCTTCTCTGCAAACCTTCATTTTCTTGTTCCCCTGGCAACCTTTTATCTGCTGCACGTTATCAGATAGCTTCTATCTAATGAGAATCTTGTCCAAGTTTGCTTGCTATGGTATGCATCCAGCACTTTTTTTCAAGGATAACTATCCAATGGCTGGGCAAAAGGTCAACAAGCAGGAACTTAAAACACCCCAACTCAAGCAGTAGCTGATTTAATTATTTCTTAACATCCTGATGCTTCTCTCCTGAGAAGGACAGGTTGTAGTTTTTATAAAAGAATAATCATATCTATTCAGAAAAATTCATGGAAGAAAAAAAGAAAGGGGAAAATTGTGTTTGTCACCACCCCTAAGGAGATTTTCATTTTTGAAGGGAAAAAAGTGCAAAAGAAGGGAAGAACCAGGTGCCTAAGAGTTCACCTGTTTTTCAGGAAATGGACTCTCATTTAATTGCATTCCGTATCAAAGAACCATGATCATTTAAATGTACCCATTTTTATCCTGACTATTTTTTCAACTTTGTAGTTTTCATCTCATGTTTTTATCCCTGGAAACTTGTGTTCTGTGCTATGCTTACTATAAGGGCTCCAAATTTACAAGTTAACTACATACCTTCTCCCTCCAACACAAAGGAAGGAACAGATTTCAAAATCTGATTATCTCTTTATATATGTACACCACATTACTAGTAACATGAAGCCACGGAATGTAAATCAAAGGAGCAAGCATTCAATAGTTAAGAAGGCTAAAATTCTACTCCTTTGGTAGGACACACAAGTCACTAGCTCCATAAAACACAAAGAAGAAAACCATGCTTTAAACTCACCAGAAACTTTAGGAATCTTACACAAACTATATACAAGTCCAAATAAGATACTACCCACATTCAACCAGTACAAATTAATACTAATTTCAAGTGAACTCACACTGGCTTTTGGAAGCAGTTTTAGAAACTATAGAAGGAAAACAAGCCCTTAATCTTTTTGTCTTTTGAACTTAGATTGGGGTTGAGGGGGTGGAAAGGAAGAAACTTGCTCACTTTGGAACACTAAAACTAATAGTAAAGCCAACTAAATGTCAAAAGTAAAATCTTCAGTGGCCAATTTAAAAATTCTATTTAAGGAAATAAAGTAAGCCCTAAACAACAAGTATACCTGTGAAAATATTAAACTATATAAAACTATGTTATATCCATAAGTAAAGCACAGAAGGAAGTAATACCCTTTATAAAAGCCAACCAACTAGCCACCAACGCTCCCCACCACCACACAAAGAAAGATAGAAGGCATCCATGTGCAAGTTTTCTGTAATACTTGGCAGGAGGGTAGGGAGAGAAACAGAAGGACCTTTCCTCACACTTCCAAACTTCAGCCAAAGCTGACACGGTAAATTATTCTTTCCTTCCCCTATTTATGAATAGCTCCAACATCCTTAAATTTAGTTAAAGTTGTCCAATTTTAAATGCACAGTTTTAATACACAAAGCATTTGCAAGCATTCCCAACAGGATGATCAATCTGCAATCTGTCTGGCACAGTTACTTCACTAACTTACTTGGTATTGTTTTCATTCTCCCAATTCCTGATTTATGTTACCAACAAACACCAAACTGACATACCAAATTTTTCATCTGGTGATTAGCTACATAAATTATCCAGTCATGGAACAGGAACAACAGGACAATATTTAAATAACCAACACAAGATAAACTCCAAATTAAGTAAACAGGTTCTTAATTCATGTCGAAAGTATGTCAAAAGTTTGCTTTACAAAGATTCCAAGCAAACCACTTTGTCATGGCTTCATGGAAAGCGCTGTCACGCTTGCAACCTGACCTGGGAACATGCCTTGCACCGTGGGCTCCTGAAGCCATGAGGAACACTTCTGGGAACAAAGATCCTGCAGAGACAACAGGACAGCTCTGCAAAGCAGCTCAGCCCTTTTAAATTGAATTTAAAACTAGCTAAAACTAGCCCATGCTATTCAGACAATGTTTTGAAGTGTGCTTTTCTTGTTTGTCAGAAACCAGAACTGTTGCAGCACTTCACTGGGTTGGGTTTTTTGTTTGTTTTTAAATATAATGGGCAGTAAGGCAAGACCTTGGAAAAGAGGGAGAGGCAAACAGCGAGGGCTGGAAACAAGAGGGAAGGAGAAACTACTATGAAAAAGTTAGATATCTAATGGTTTGCAAGCAGTATTTACATGGCATAACAAAAAGCACTCCAGACACACACACCACCCAATCTGAGGTGACCTTTCCAGGATCTACCACACAACAAAAAGACTCCATGGACACCCTTCTGAATTTCAGAAAACTGACTTAACAGCAAAACCACTCCTACAACTGTTGCTTTTTCTTTAGCTGAAAAAAAAAAAGAAAAGTGACAAGATACTGTCTGCAAGCCAGCAGTACAAAAACATTTCGCCCTTTTCAAACAAGATCTTTTGCTAAAGTAAAAGTTGCCATCTGACTAACCGTAACCTACCTAGCAAGAAATGAGTCACCAGCCCTTTGACCCGCTGGCTTAGTGTGTCATATTAATTGACACAGTAAGTTAGTGACACAAAGCAGGTTTTGGTTAAGCAGGAAACCCAGTGTAGTACGACTTCTGCCCGTTTAAATGAGCTCATTTAAATAGCTGATCAGCCCTCTGAACTCGTGGCAGATCTCTCCGGGGCAGCACAGAGCTAGCAGCAACAGGAAGTCATGGCTAGAAATCTCGCACTACCCCAGCTGATATTTCTTACTAGAGCAGGAGCCACATTGTTGCTGTCAAGGCTCTGTTTTCATTAAAGCATTCCTGCTGATTACAACCCAGCTTTGTTTTTCCGTCTTGTTAGTAATCAGCCTATTCGCTGCTGGTTTCCTGTTTTAACAGGGCCCAACTGAAAAGGCTCCTGGCCACGCTCCATGACTGGACCATTGGCTTACTGTTATTTACACCCAGAATAAAGGCCTGTGGACACGATGAGTAGCCCCAGCTGACCTACTAATTTATTTTGTGTTAAAAGCAGGCTAGGGCCAGGCTATTTTATGTCTCCTCCTGAAGACATTTAATCTAAACAAAAACCCCTGCTTTTATAGAACTAAAATCAAAGCAGCACAAGTTCATTTGCAGAGAGAAACAACACAAAATCCCAGTCCTTCACTTGCACATCACCACTTAAAAGAGTAGTCTATGCTGTTAATGACCTAAGGACTACATGATCAGCATCCCTTCTTTATAAATTACTTTATCCTCCTGGCCTCCTAGCTGCAGTCATATATGTGACTGCATGCACTGTTGCATTGTATCACAGCCCAAAGACTTCACAGGTCCTCCCGTAATCAGCTCAGGGAAGATTACACCTAGGATCTGGAGCCTGGGCTCAACACCCAAACTTAACAGCTTGAAACAACCTGAGTAAAAGTACAGTGATGACTAAAGCTGATTTCAAAACAAACTACTGCCACTTAAACAGGTATGCCGAAATACTTTGAGGGGGAGGACACAGTATTTAGAGTGGCTGAGACAAATAAGATGGAAGTTAAAAAAATTAAAGATGTAGGCTATGAGGGCAAAAAGCACCACAAAAAAAAAAAAACAACAAAAAACAACTATCCCATTGTGTCGAGGAAGAGCTTCACAGAGGAAGTGGCAGAAGCCAATTGTTATTCAAAAGAGGACAAAGTATACCACAAGGAACAATCTCTGCCCTCCAGAGGGGATAGAAAAAAAATCACCTTAAAGAAAATCTTCCACCCCTTAAGATTCTCTGAATTTCTTAAGTGAGATTCTTTTTTTATGAGAACTGATAAACAGAACAAGTTCCCATCTAAGTCCCCGATCCTGTTGTAACCAAGTTCAGTTAGATTCTTCACAAGTATAAACTTGAGCACATGCCTGTGCCTTTTCGAGACTGTGTTCTAAATCAGCCAATTAACAAGCCAAGTAGGTTCCGTGTGATTGTTATCATGTCACTAGTAAATGAAACTATCCATAGAAGAGTCCTGAGGTTTAAATCCAGTCTGCTAGCTTAAAAAAACCCACAAAAACAAACAAACAAAAAACCCTCAACAAAACTAACCAACAAAAACATAGCATCACACACACAAAAAAATTAAAACTCAACACACGTAACAAAAAATTTAACTAAAATGTAATGCAAATTTTAAAATCAACAACAAAATTACATTAGTTTCAAATTATTCATAAGCAGAAAAAAACTACGAGGATACAGAAGGGAATTTCCACAGTAAAAAAAAAAACAAAAAAAACCACACCACCTTCTTTCCTCTGAATGAGTTTCATAATTGAGGAACCAGCCTAATTGTTTTCCTCTGTACTTTACAGCTTGCACTTTTATTACTTCTAAAGCAACTAGACTTGGCTGTACTATACTTTTTTTCCTCTAAACGGGATTTTTTTTTTTTAGGAGTGCAAGCAAGAAATCTGTAACAAAGTCACTCTTTGAAACTTCTTGAATGAGCTTCAAATGCCAGGAGGTCACAAATAAGTACAAGCCCAACCTTTATTAAAACAAAGGCACCCTAGCCCTAACATCTTTTTAAAAAGTTTCCCCCTTTGTCTCCTCACCTTTTAATTTGTGCCACGCAAACCCCAGGCCCATGGCCTCTCTCAAAAGTTCTCCCTCTCGCCTGTCACCTTTCATTGTTTCCATTGTTTCAGCCCAGGATTTGCAATCCTCAAAGCAGAGCTTACACACACTCTCTTACACACAAAGCCCTACACATGCATACCTAGAAACTACGTCAGCGTTTTCCACACGCATTTATTTCGGGGGTGGCAAGAACAACAGTTGAAAGTGCAGGGAGTTTGGTATTTCACCAACCAGCAGCTGCCCTCGGGGAGAGAAGTCTGAACAATGGAAGCAACAGCAGACAGGAAACCAGCTCACCACTGCTGTGCAAATAGGCAGCATAGGAATGTCCTAAAAATAACTGGGCTAAATTAATTCAGCGAAACTATAAAGGAGCGGGGTGGGGGGGGTGGAAACAAACCACAAAGTGCTTCCAATAGAGGGTGAAGAATCCCGACCTACCCAAGACGCGCGGAACGTGTAAAAGCCAGCGCTGTCTCTGGGCACGGGGGGCTGTGCCGGGCTGTGCCTGGGACCTGGCCCCGCTGGGCTCCCGCGGCACAACGCGCTCCCCAACACCACCCTGCCTGCTCTTTAAACTTGGCCTTTGTGGCTCAGCCTCCTTTGTGTGCGCTCCTCTTAGCCCAGCGGCACGTCCAAAAAAAAACTTCTCACGAGGGCTACGAACCGTATTAGTACACACCACGTCTGCAGCAGCCCGGTGATTTCACGAACTACATATGCATTAATTGCTCCGAGGGTATTAACAATGAGAGAGGCTGCTTTACTCCAGAGCCGCAGGAATGCATAGTAGGGGGAAAACAGCACAACTCTGGAGTACTGAACATGCGCACTGCTCCCCTCCAGCCCTCCACTTCGGAGCATTTAATGGTCTTTGAATGCAAAACACTCTTCGGCCGCACCGCCGACCGGCAAATCGCCACTGATCAGACACTGCTCTGCTGTGAACTTCTGCACAGGCAGCGCAGGAGCCTCCGATCCCAAAGCATGTCTTTGTGGCCGAGCGCTCATCTGAAGGCACTTGCAGCACCGATGAGTAAGGATCCTCAAACTGTAAAGTTTGTTTGGAAGGGGACACAAAGAAAACTCAAACAGCCTTGTGGTTACAGGGGGCGGGGGACGCGACAGCCTTCCTCCTCTCAACCCCGCGTCAAAACTTTTGTACTTTGTGTTTCGTCCCCCTGCTTTAAGGGATAAAAGGGATAGAAAAGGCTTCAGCTTTCAGCAGAACAAGGCTGAAAGAGAGCGCGGAGGG